GAACTCACAGAGATCTTTCTGCCTCTGCTTCCTGAGCGCTGGGATTAAAAGCATTTTCTAACATGGCCCTGCATTAGAAGGCGTTTTGGTTTTGTTACTATTGTGTAAAATAGTGATTTGATGCTGTCTTAAGGAGTGAGGATCTGTACTGAGCAGTGTCTCATAATTTATACACATTATGGTTTCAATATATCCACATGCCTATTACTTATCAGTTCTTCTTCTAAACTGCTTCTAAGGTGGATAACTACAAATAAGCCTATGTTAATACAGAAAGAAAGCGGAAATCCATAGCCCTGGCAGGTTTAACACTGGTGTGAGCGATCATCTGAAAGGAGATTATCATGGCGCTAGGGGTTCTATGACCAATGTCATGAACTGAAATGGAAATATCTAACAAAGCAATGTAGGCCCTGTTGCTTTACTGGGTTCCTGGTTCATAGAATCCACCGCCTCCTAGACGTTTCCATTTCAATGCTTCACACTCAATACATCTAAACACTCAACTCATACTCAACTCCCGTTCTCTGTGATTTCCCAATTTCTCAGCCTCTATGCATGGATTCATTATCTATCAGGACTTCCAGGCAGATGTTTATGCCTTGAAATGGCATTTTGTTTCCCCTGTTTGCTCCCTACAATTCTCTGCCAGATCTCCTCTAGATTAACCTCCCAGTCTCTTGTCCAACATCCTCCTTAATCTTGTTTCATCTCATCGGTAACAGTCACCCATCTTCCTATTTCCACTGATACCCAACAATGAAGGCGTCACATTCTTTGGAGACATTAACCATCAACCACTTCCTGGTTCCTTAAGATTTGGCAGCAAGTCCTTTTGGCGAGAAGAAGGCCCAGAGTTGTGCTTGGGTTAATGGAGTTCTCCCTGAACTGTATAGAACACCCCTTCTCTTCCTGTTGCCTTGACCTATAGTGCTCTCTAGAACTTGAAGCTTAATGTTACCTCTGCAATACCTCCCTCACATGATCTCGTCTGTTTGGGGATTTTTGTTGGTCTCCTCCTCCTAAAATTAAAAGCCAAACTCAGTCTTGAAAACACATCCTTTATTCTGCGTAGATCTCTCCTTTCTTCTAAGACTCTGTCTCACATTACTTATTCTCTTTCACACTCTCTTCTACTAATTTTTTTTTAGACACTTAAAAGAAGATATCGAGAACAGCTCCTTCCCATCCCTCAAAATATAAAGAGCACAGCACAAATTACGTATCATGGCTCAAATACAAAGAATGGGGAAAAATAGTTATAGGTAACAATGTATGTTTTTATGCTCAAAAGACAAACACTAGGGATTAACTTGCATAATTGTATGGAGCACCTCATGTGTGCTGACTCGTCAGTAGCAGTGAAATGACATGAGGACAAACAAGACATTACAATGGTCCCAAACTGTAAGTCCCAAACTGTAAGTCGGGCCTCTTGTTAATGAAAAGCTGAATACAGTTAGCAAGGGTACTTGGCCTAGGTATGCCCTGGGAGAACTCACTCAAAAGTGTATACTTAGATTACAGGCATCCCACCCCATGACAGTCCCCACATGGCTTCCAAAGCAAACTGCTGGGATTGCTAGGAGTGAAAGGCCTTCTGGGTATATACATTTCACAGACGACCAGTCAAGAGGGCCAGACCTTTGACAGTGACAGAACCTTCAGAGATTAAGATACCAAGCCCAATACTTTGTTTTTGTTTGGTGAAAAGTTACGGATTATGAGGGTAAGTACACCAAGCCAGATGCAGCTGTTCAGGCTGTTGGCGCTACCTCCTGATGTCATGCTGCAGCACCGTGACTGTGAACACAGCAGACACTCAGAGTACAGGACTCCTGTACACATGGAAGGGCCGGTCAGCACTGTCTGACTAGTGGTGTCAAGAACCACACATCTTTAGAAGCAATAACAGAAATCATTAAGATCCCCCTTTAATCTCACAATGCCTGGCACATCTAACGCAGGCAATAAACATTTGCAGAATCTAGAAAAGAGATCCCTGAAGCCTGGAGTTTCAATGGGACTTCCCACCTAACCCAGACCTGGAATGAAAACAGGCTTCAGAAGGCTGGTGGCCTTCACTTGAGAACGCCATTTGATTCCCACTTCTGTTTCTCTTTAACCCCACTCTTCCACCCTGCCTTTTAGATGCCAGTGTCTTCACAAACAACACCGGGACAGCCTGATGTCTACAAGGTTCTCTGGTTGAGTGTCTCCTCATTTGCTCTGCACACAGGATCGTGTCCAGAAAAGTGCCTTCCCTGCCATCGTAAGGAAGGAGCTTGCTCAGAAAAGCCAAAACAATCCTGCCCAGATGTAGTGACTGCACTGTCCCTATCAAAGGTAACCCAGGAGACCACAGCATCCCCGAACAGGAGAGAAGGCCACTGAACAAGCAAACTTCACCAGACTGTTTCCTGGTCCCTCTTCTTCTAGCATCAGACCTGAGTCATTTACACACCTAACCTAGTCCGGACCTCCTACAATGAGGGGGTGGAGTTTGGAGGTGGAAGGAACTTGAATCTTGGCATTGCTGCTTACTAGCTGTGGGAGGAAATCACTATGCTTCCCTGCATGGTGCACAGGTTCTCCCAAACAGATGATGAGAGTTGCCAATCATCCCATGTGATGTGAGGATGGACAACACACTTAGAGCAGGGTCCAAAAGTCTTCTGCTGTGAGTACAAGTGATGATGGTACCATCGATCAGAAGGAGGGGTAAGTCCCAATTTCACTTAAGGGAGCCAGTCCCGAACAGAACCGACAAATGGAGCAAACAAATCCTTTATCAGCACGTTGTGGAAGGACGGTCTCAAGTTTTCAGTAACTTGCCCTTTAGAACTTAAGCCTTTTTATGTTACTTTAACAGATGAACATTTGTTTGTTACTTTTACTACTATACCCAGAAGCGTTTGGTTTTAAATGAGCACCGTACAGACAGGCGAGTAAAGTGGTATTTCTATTTTATCTGCAACGAAATCTGCAGCTGCTAAGAGTGTTCAAAACAGGACAGTGAAAGAGCTGGGTGCAGGAATGAAGTGAGAAGGTTACATGCTGGCAGCGGGGGGTGGGGTGGGAGGATGGGGGAGTGGGGGTCGGGCTCTAAGAGGGCAATTCAAAATTAGAAGACTGAGTCCCTCCTGTGGCCAGGGACAGATGCCACCTGAGAGGGCCCTAGACTTAGCTGTGCACAATTACTGGCTATTACAGCAGGGGGAGGGGAGCCTTTCTCCTAAGGTCGGTGGGAGAAAAGCTTTATGCTGATCCGTCTGTGAAAAAAAGCTAACCCTGCATTACTGACGTCACCCCTATTATTTTTTCCTGCACTGCAAGACTGCCCAGACTCCTGATAGCCCAAAACGGTGCTGAGGATTGGCATGTAGGCTTCCTGGAGATGTTACCCATCTTCTCTTTATGGTAGTGAGTCTCAAACCAAACACTCCAAAAAGTTTTTAAAACTAATTCTCACGACAGGCCAGTGCAATCTGAACATACCGAGTGGGAGCTGCACCGCTGGAGGAGGGGGTGTAGTTTGTTTTGCTTGTTGCTTTTTAATGCCAAATGATTTCATTGTGTAGTTAAGTTTGGGAAACTGAGTCTTACACCCCCTCCAACGAAAGCGCGCTCAGCACCAACCTCCGACTCCAACTCGGATGCCAATGACATCAACAGCAAGTGCAGACCTGACTCTTGGAACCCGAGCGGCTGGATTTTGAAATTGTGCAATTAAACCTTCCGAGGCATGTTTCTCATGTCAAGTGGGTTTATGGTCGGGTAGTCATGAAGCCAGACTTGTTCATGCTCCGTCTGGACAGTTGGCACATGTGATCCAAGGACATCAATCCGTTTCTTTTTAATTACGGGTTATATTTTGGTTGGCCCAATATCAATCACTTCATAAGGGCAAAAAGAAAAAAAAATTAAAAGAAAATTCCCAAGGGGGAAAGTCTCAGATAACAAGGAGAAAGTTAGCTATGGGCCTCATTTTGAAACACCAAGGGTGAAGTACTCACAGGGACCCAGCTGTCACAAGGCCCTCAGCCATAGAGTTGCGAAGCCAAGATATGCTACCAAAGACCTCGCTGCTGGGAAAAAGGCAAACTTCGGGGATCCCAGGATAGCAGTCACCCTGCGAGACTAGCTCCAGTCTGGCAGGGAGCCCTGGTCCCTAACTAGTGCACCTAGCCTGGCAGGTCCTTGATGTACTGTACTCTGTGGTCAAGAGGCGGGTCCGACCCCCCCTTCCCCGCCCCGCCTCCCCTCCGCGCCCTCTTTTCTGCTAGCCAAGAAGCTAATCGTCACCAACACACCATCCTTCCCTAGGGGTCCCAGGTGGTTAATGACAGAACGTCGCCCACACTTCCAGATCATTGCTGCAGCTCCACACCCGCGAAAGGGCAGGCAGGACTCCGTGAGACCCTTTGCGACTCAAGCCACCAGGTCCCGAGAGAACCCAGGCAAAGGAAAGAGGTGCGGGAGGGAGCTCTTAGGGACCCGCCTGTCTCAGAGTTCCCAACCTTGCCCAGGGGCGCACTGGTTCTTCCTTCAAGTCCTTAAACTCTGGGACTGTGCGGGTGGGACCTGCCCGCCCCGCGGACGGACCCGGGGTCTCTCTAGCTCGCTCTGACAGTCCTGGGCGCACGTGTGCGCCGATGCCAATCCTCGCTCCGCACCACGTTTCCTCTCCCGGACGCCTACTGAGCGCGGAAAAGTGAAGCAACTAAGTTGGGAGCGTCGGGAACCCCCGAGCGCACAAGCCGCGGTTCCCACGCTGCGCTGGCACCCCATCTGCCCCCAGCCCCGTCTCCCTTGCTTCGGCCGCCCTAGTCTCGCCCATTCCAGACGCGAAACGTCCAGTCCCTCCCATGGTCCCAGCCGATCCGGTGCGAGACAGGAGAGGAGGGGCAAGCGGCAGGGGACACAGAGTCCCGGTACCGACAACTGGGGCTAGGCGAACGCTCCCCGCTGGGGGCGCGGGCCAGCGGACACGCCCTTACCTTTCTTTTCCTCCAGGGCCCCACCTGCGGCGCAGAGCGCGGCCAGTAGCAACAGCAGCGCGGTTCCCGTGGTCCCTGAGGGTCGCATCTCTGCCCAGGAGAGGCTGCCTTCGGGCTCTCCGGGATTAATCCGATTCAGACGGAGTCCCACGGGCTGCGCGGCGACTGCGTCGGCAACAACGCGACCTGGAACTCAGGCGCCCGTCCAGGTGAACTGTCGTCGGGAGGCGGTGGCCTCCGGGACACACTCCAGGCGCCCTGGCCAGCCCGGGGGCTAGCGCACTGTGAAGGAAGCGGAGGAAGGCTGCTGCGCGCAGCGTTGGGGCTGCCCAGACGTCTAGCTCGCGCGGTTCGGGACGAGGGGAGGCTGGGCTGGAGGAGGAGGGACTAGTGAGAGGAGGAGGGATATCGGGAGGAGCGAGGAGGAGGAGAATGGCAGGAGAGAGGAAGCACTCGCCCCGAGGATCGAAAGCAGGCAGTGACCGGAAGGTGGTGGTGGATAGCCTTGGCCGCCACCCGACCGGGCTCTGGGACAAGTCCAGGCTGCGGGTAGCAGGGCAGCCGGGGGCCTTTGGGGTTAATTTTGGTTTGGGGACTCCTTCCCGCTGCGGTTCAGAATCTAGGCAGTTCAGCCAAAACTGTGTTAGGCTCCCCTCCCTCCCTCGGTCTGTCCCATCTTTTTCCTTCCTTCCTTCCTTCCTTCCTTCCTTCCTTCCTTCCTTCCTTCCTTCCTTCCTTCCTTCCTTCCTTCCTTCCTTCCTTCCTTCCTTCCTTCCTTCCTTCCTTCCTTCCTTCCTTCCTTCCTTCCTTCCTTCCTTCCTTCCTTCCTTCCAATTTACTGAGCCACCTCCGGTTTAAGCTGACTGAACCCTGGAGCCCAGGTTGGAAACTGACACAGATGGAGACACTACCCCCCTCATTTCCCCATAAGTCCTCCCGGAGAGCGGGATCTTAGCCGGGTCAGGCTGGCTTGGCAGCAGAGTTCCCAACCAGGCAGGCTGAGACCGGGCTTCCAGATGTCTGAAGTGGCACTCAGAAGTGTCCTTCAGATCCCATCAAGAACCCTCCACATCCTCTGAAAGGAGGGCGGCCAACTCCCAGAACGGAAGAGGGCAAATGTTTGCTGAGGGAATGCACGCGTGTTGAGGGACGAAAACATGGCGTTTTGGACACCAGGAATCAGTCAGGAGTCCTTGGAAAGCAAAGCAGTGTACAGAGGAGGCGAATTCCTTCGCAAAGGCGAAGACTTGACACCAACAACAGTTTTCATATCTTTAGAGCAGTTAGCAGGAACTCGAGCTAGCCATGCCGGATACCAGCAGGCAAATTGTCAGGTATAAGTTCTCCTAGAATTTGGCCAGTTGAAATGATGCTTCCCTGAACTGCAGGACTGTCAACTAAATTCTTTCAGCAAAGACCCACTAATATCCCCTGCTTCTTCTTCTCTATCGGAGAAATGTCCCCTCTTCCCATTTAGCAGCCAGAGTCCCTCTGTTCTTTGCAAAATCCCTTGGTCCCCTAATTTAGGCTCTTTTAGGCCTCCTATTAAAAGCAGTCACTGCTAACCAGTAAGTTCATGCCACCTTTGTGTGTGTGTGTGTGTGTGTGTGTGTGTGTGTGTGTGCAGCTAGAAGGGACGCAACCTTCTTTCCCACCCAGCAAAGAAAGGGCTGCTGCCCAAGTTTCGCAGCTGGCATCCTGAATGGGTGCATTTCACCCAGCCTGTGCAAGGCCCCTCTTCAAACCCTGAAACCCTCATTGTGAAGTAGAGCAGGGCATCTTAAACTTTTTCCACCGGCAACCGTTTTTTTTTTTTTATAGTTTTTAATGTGCCCTTGGGTAGGGATTTATCAAAAATAGGCGTGCAAACTAAATGTCTACTAATAGTAAATCATAATGTAACGTTAAGATAATTCTTTGACATGCATATAACTTTAGCACTTGTTAAAAGTTAAAGCAAATTTGCATGCAAATGAGGTGGAGTTGTTTATTATTACACAAAAACTAGATCTTGAATGAATACTCAATGCTGCAGGACATTGAGCATCTGCAACATTGCTTAGAGTTAATTTAATATTTTGGTTAATGTCCTCAGTGCATAAAATGGGAAAAAAGTATATTTAGGGCCATTTTGGAAATTCCATCCAAATCCCAAGCTAAAATTCAGTTAATATCTTTTAAATAAAATTCAAGACATTGGTTTTAAAAATCATACAGTACAACCCAAATACACCTATTTGAAGCTCTTATGCTAAGGGATGACGGTGGGAGAATATTGAAAGTTTTTGTTTTCTGTGTTATAATATTATTCGTCTACAAGAGCAGACAGCTGTAAAGTAAAGCTGCTGCCATCCATACTTCCCCGTAGCTTTGCATCTGAACTGAGTTTTGAGGCAGCACTTCTTGGTGCCCCATACTATCGTGCACAGAGCGAGGGGAGCATGGGGTGTGTATAGAAGCGAGACTGCTGTGAAGTGTCGTGCTGCACCCTGGAGGAACACTGCCAGAAACACCTTGCAGTCACTGTGTGTTTGGAGCTTTTGGATTCAATTTTGGTCATCACAACTCAGAAGCCTTTTACTCTTGCCAAACATTTTATCCCTTCCTCCCAGGGACACACACTGGGTGTGGGGGGGCACCCATGGGGGGGGGCACTCATGTGTTTGTTTTCTGCTACATGTTCCAATAACTTGGGTCAGTTTGTAAAGCAATGCAATTAATGGGGGAAATGAGAGGAAAGCAAACAAGAAATAGTGGAGCACAGGATAAAGACAGGAATGAATTTTAAAAAAAATTGCAGACAGATTTTAAAAGAAATCTATTTCTTCGCTTATAGAGGGCCACGAACCTGGCTTGAAATCATATTTTCTATCAAGGAATATAATTAGTTGCACAAGTCATAATGTGCAGGTAATAAAACAGAAACAGTAGCTGAAACAGATTTTTAAGAAATGGTAGAAATGTCTCTCATGCATCCCTAAAGGAGGATTGTCTCTAAAGACTTCAGGATTCTCTCCATGTTAGCTCCATGAAGCAGCAACCTTCATAAAGCTGCTGGTTAGAACGTCTACAGTGTAACCTGATTACCATCCAGCCCCTAGGAACAAAAGCTTCCTTGAGACCATCAAGAAGGGGGCAGTGGCCCTTTAAAGTTACAGAGCACAAAACTAGGACAGCTTCTTCTAACATAGAGTTTCCCTTTAGGACACTTATAGTGTAGGCTCTTCCAGAGCGCCCCCTTAGGACACATACAGGCACCCTGGAAACATCTGAGCTGTAATTATGAAGAGTGACATTATGATGAACTTTTATTGGTTGGCAAGTCCTGGAATTATGGATGCTTATGTTAACTAAAGGTGGTCTGGGCAGACTGGCAGAAATGCCATCTGGAAAGAACAAAGGAGCCTTGCACAGCCAGAGCTTTGCCCAAAGTCTCCGAGAGTAATCCAAACCATTACCCAGGTGACGTCCTCTCTGTTACCACATCATCCAAAAATGGCAACAGCCGTTCAGACCCTGCAGAACTCAAGTGAAATGTCAGCGTATCTGATGACCCTTATGCTAGCCTACAGTTTTGTTTTCCTCTTTCAATGTCAAGATGACACTGTGGCTCAGAGAGGATAAAGAACTCTCCAAGTCCCGAAGTGCAATTGCTATTATGAGCAAACTGTTAGCCAAGTATGTTCTTTATTGCTACTTCTAAACCTGAACTGAATAATGGCGTCAGGACCCCAGATTCTTTTTTTTTTTTTTTTTGTGATGAATGAGATAAACATTGTTTATTCATTTAATATTTTATTAATTTACTTCTTACTTTATTTTAGTTGAAAATTTAAGGTGTCCCTCTGGTTCCTAGTAGTATGTCACCCCCATTGCATGAGGTTCCATTTTTTTAATTAATTAATTTATTTATTAATTAAAAATTTCTGTCTCTTCCCCACCACCGCCTCCCCTTTCCCTTCCCCTCCCCCAATCAAGTCCCCCTCCCTCGTCAGCCCAAAGAGCAATCAGGGTTCCCTGCCCTGTGGGAAGTCCAAGGACCACCCACCTCCATCCAGGTCTAGTAAGGTGAGCATCCAAACTGCCTAGGCTCCCACAAAGCCAATACGTGCAGTAGGATCAAAAACCCATTGCCATTGTTCTTGAGGTCTCAGTAGTCCTCATTGTCCGCTATGTTCCGCGAGACCTGTTTTAACCCAGGCTTTTTCAGACCCAGGCCAGCTGGCCTTGGTGAGTTCCCGATAGAACATCCCCATTGTCTCAGTGTGTGGGTGCACCCCTCGCGGTCCTGAGTTCCTTGCTTGTGCTCTCTGTCCTTCTGCTCCTGATTTGGACCCCGAGATTTAGGACCCCAGATTCTATTTCATCATATCTCCACAAGTTTTTAGAACAAATGCAACCAAAATTTCTCTTTGGCCAAGAAAAAAAAATTCTGAATAAAGTCTAGACATGACATAGCAAGCACATGCTAGGATCAGTTTCCACAACAAACCTCTCCAGGGTGTCCATCTTTACATTGCAGGCTGTTCATTCTCTGCCAGATACACTAGACAAGCAGGTTTTTGTTTGTTTGTTTTTATGAGTGGCTAAAGCAGAAGCTCTTGAATGTGTGTGTTGGATAGGAGTTTAATCTTCCTAAGAGTAACACGGAATTGAATTCCCATAATTCACATATTTCATCAGAGGAAAGACAGGTTAGGTGAAGACATGCAACAAGGTGAGGATATAAGGGTTCCCAATATTTTTGTTCTCCTTGTTTTGGGAATTTTTTATTAGTTGAGAATTTTGTACAGTGTGTTTAAATTGTGTTCACCTTTTGCCTCCACTCCTTGAAGATCCAACCCTCATTTCCCACACCACCCAACTTTGTGTCCTTCTAGTTTTTGATTTATTTTCAAGTACGATTTGTGCTAGCCATTTACTCTTGGATGCACGGCCTTCACTGGAGGAGAGTCAACCCACCAGGGTTTTGTCCTAAAAGAAAATGTACTCCTCCTGGCCCAGAGATATGGATTGCAATAGTTCTTCCCCTAGGGTTGAGACTTTGTGCTGACTTCCCTGGTCCAGGTTAGACCATTGAGTCTATGCTGGTCTTGTACACCCAGCTCCAATTGCCGTGAGTTCATATATGCAGCTGCCCTGTTGGGTTCAGATGACACTGCTTCCTTCTAGCCATCCATGCTCTCTGGCTCTTAAAATCTTTCTGCCTCTTCCGCAGTGGTCCGAGCCTGGGCTTCTAATATTTTAAGTTAGATCTTGGATGAAAGGCATTTGGCCTCCTGTTTTCTTTTTTTTTTTTTTTTTTTTTTACTTTTTCTAGTCTTCGAAGCAAAAG